ACCTCATTATGTAGATGAAGAAATGGACTCATACAAGCTTGATAATGTTCCTGTTGCTACACAGCAAAGAACGGGTTGCTTTGGGATTAGAATTCTGATAGCCTTAAAGGTCCTTTGCTGCATGAAGATTCTGTAACTATGGGACTATGGCCGAGAAAACTCCAATATTTGCAGGATCTCCCTTTCAGAGTGAAAACGGGGAACCTCATGCAAAAAAACAAGAAATATGCACTTTGAATATTCTAAAATAAAAACTTCATCCTTTGTTCCATGAACATGTATTCTGTTTTCCTCTCTTCTCTCTCTCTTTCTCACTCACTATCTCATGGTGTTTTAAAGTCCTATATAGACTGTGCTCTGGGTGCACACGGATGTGTCCGGTGTGGGAGTTTCTCACAGGAACCCAGGGCCCTGCCCTGCTGCTTTGTGTGGGCAAGCCACCAGCTGCCAGGTTCCCTCTGCCACCAGCCCCCAGTTGATGCCACTTTGAGCCAGACATTTCCTCTCCCATGGGACCACTGCTCTAATCCACAGACCTGCACTAGGATGTTCCTAGTACCTGGATTGAAAGTGGGAGAAAGTCATGCTGCTAGTGAGTCGCCCACTGGACGCTCTCCCTGGAGCATTGCCAGCTTAGGGTGGGAAGAGCTGCCACCAAGCCCTGGCCTGAAGTGGCATGAGTTGTGTGCCTGACCCCAGCTGTCTCAGAATGGAGGATGACAATGATGACTGAATGGGTCAGGGAAGGTTGGGTAAGGCTGGGGACACCAGAAGGGGATGGCCAAGAGGTAGAGATTTCTGGGGAGATAAGGGTAACAAGAGGCAGGATAACACAGGAGCTGAGGTTCCCAGCCCCTGCAAATGCTCCCTTATAAAATGTAAATGGAAAGGTAACATTATTGAAAATTTCAGGGTGGTGTCCACAGAGCATAGAACTAAAGTACGAAGCCTTTCTGGCCAGGGAGATTCTGCACACTTAGGAGGGCTACACATTTGTGAACCCAGCCGTGGGCTGCAGAGGACCAAAGCACTGTGATTCCTGAGCTCAAGGTGCTTACCTAGGAATAAGGTAAAATGCAGTCAATGAATACATTATTTGTGGCAGATGCAAGGCAACACATAGTGTTTATATAAAGTAAGAGCTGATTGAGTCTCATATTTTTTCTGTGCTCTGCTTCTTTGGAAATGAATGACAAGTTAGATTTCCTCATTTTTTCCTCTCTCTATTTTCCAAAATTTGATTTAGCAGGGATGTGTGGCCAGGGTCAAGGTGAGGGGGACACCACTCACTGGATGACATACTGGAATCTTCTATGTGCAAGATTTTCCTTGAGCGGAAGGCACACGGGAAGGCATGGGAGGAGGACCAGAGTGAGCCCGCTGCTGTGAAATCCAAAAAAGTGAAGGAAAATCCATTTGATTGAGCTGAAAAAGTGGGTCAGAAATCGAGAGGAAGAAGTGGGCCAGGATGTGAGTGTGGGTAAATTGGCAAAGGTCACAAGTACCTGACCACCTGGCTGTGGATGAGGAGCTGGGATGGGAATAACAGAGGACTTTAGAGAAAACTCCCATTCCAAAGGGGGAAATGAGTTCTTGGAGTGAGCAGAGGAAAAAGCTCCATCCCTCCAAGACTAAGTGGGTGGATCAGGGCTGCACAAGCCATTAAACACCTATCCTGCAGCTCTGGCACCCTAAGCTGAGGGAGTGAGCCTGCTGTGTCCTGGCTGGCTGTATGGGCCTCTTCTGGTCCCCTTGCACCACGCATCCAAAAGCATTTATGAAGCGAGGGCAAGGTCAAAGAATTGGCCAAAGCAATTTACAGGTTTTTTTTCCAAATAAAGAGACATTTGGCAAGTTGCTCAAGTTCCTTAGCCAGGCAGGGGGCTTGTGGCCCCTAGCAAATGACAGCAGGGGACAGCTGAGACCAACCTTTGGAAGTGGTAGTCACTTCTTTGGTCAGCAGTTTTTATCATGCTCCGTGTGCTGCAGCAGGAGTGTGTGTAAGCTATTGGCTCTTCCTGGCCTGTCCTCTTCTCTGTAGTTCCAAGGCCAAAGCAGAGTGGTTATGGAGGGAGGGGGGGCTACTCAGCAGTCTTTGCACCTTGTGCATAAACTGCTTCTGCTCATATAGCAAGAACCCCAATGCAGATTTGTCTCATCAGGCAGTTGAAATATAGTCTAAATGGTTATGAGAGCCACAGGGGAGGGAGGCTCTTTGCCAATGTATAGGGAGCAGGGCAGAACAACTGTACTTAACCATCAAGCTCCTCCTGTAAATATTTGCAAACGCCCCTTCAGAGCTCAAAAGCCTAAGGCAGGATCATTGGATGATTTGCTTAGAAGAAGTAGAAACAAAATTGACCTCATGGTCTGAGCCAGCCATAAAAAGGAAGAGTGTGTTATGGGCAAAAAACCAGAAAGGGAAAAGAAAAAAAATGTTCAAAGTTTAATAAACACGAAAGAGAATAAAAATAAATCTCAAGAGCACTTATTTACAAACTTGATGGAAGGATAAGATTGAGGGGGTGGGTGTGAAAGATGGGTGTTTGTGGAAGTGGACAGACCTGTGGAGTTCCCCCAGAAGAGAAAGGGGAACAAGATAGAGATGTTTACTGTTGCTAATAACAGGAAACACTAAATTAGCCTTGCTTTTTCAGGATGCTTTTTCAAAGGATGTTTGAAGTTTCTGCTGTCCAATAGGGAAGCTACACATAGAGAAATGCGGCCACTCAACCTGTGGAAGGTTCTGGCCAACAGGGTGTGCAAAGCCAGAGCGTTTGGTCTCAGCCCTGCCCAGCCCCCTCTGCCTGGGCATGCTGCCTGTTTTCAGCTGAGCTGGTTTGGATAGGATCAGCCTTTCCAGTCACTGGGGTGGGCATATTTCACCAAGGAGAAAGATCTGTCTCTTTTAGCTGCTGCCTTTCCAAATGGCTGTGCTAGGGGGCTCCGAAAATCTCTCTACTTTTAGCAATGTTTGCCAACCTGAAAACTGCCCACCAGCTTTTTGACATTGGTGACACAGTGGGTCATCACCGTGCCTGCCTGAATACTTACTTGCTTTTCTCCGAAACATGGATACTTTGGATTCTTTGGGGTTTTGTTTGTTTGTTTGTTTGTTTCTAAAACTTCTGGTTCACAAGTACAAAGCTTTGATTCATGCTGTCATTTTATAAACCAGTGTCTCACAGAGCACTACTTGTCCATGGACTTGGCCTCTGAGAGTCACAAGTGCCTGAGGAAAGGCACAGGGGACAGCCTCTGTGAGGGGAAAAAATGCAGACTCTTGATACAATGAAATGCTGATGTCTTCCTCACAATGCTTTTTTTTTTTAGTATAATCAAATGATTTCCCAAGAAATCACAAAAGGTGTTTATTTCTATTTTAAGATCAGCAAGATGGCTTGTTTATTTAATAAGCGGGTGTTGTCTATAACCAGCTGCCTGAGTCTTTAAAGACCCACATTGGTCAGGTGCCAGTACTGTGACACAGCAGGTTAAGCTGCTGTCCCACAGTGCTGGCATCCCATATGGGCACCAGGTCGAGTTCTGTCTGCTCTGCTTCTGATCCAGCTCCCTGCTATTGTGCCTGGGAGGGCATCGGAGGATGGCCCAAATCCTTGTGTTTCTGCACCCACCACGGAGACCTGGAGGAAGCTCCCGGCTCCTAGCTCCACATCTGCCCAGCCCCAGCCATTGCAGCCATTTGGGGAGTGATCCGGGGGATGGAAAATCTCTCTCTCTCTCCCACTCTGTGTCTCTCTCCACCCTCCAACCCTGTAACTCTGACTTTAAAATAAATAAATCTTTGTAAAAAAAAAAAAAAAAAAACTCCCATTGGTGACCAGCTATGTAAACAGCTGTTATCAGGTGAATCCATGCATTTAGAGTCCTGTCCTGGATATGTGGGAAAGAGAAAAGACTTGGCGGTTACAGCACCTGCCCTCAAGATTCTTAAAATTTCACAGCAGAAAACAAAACAAACAAACATAATGCAGATAGAATAACATTATTTGTAAAGGAACATAAACAACTGGGACCAATTGTGTTGTTAGGAAGCTACAGGATAGAAAAAAGTGAAGTCACCAGAGTTGGATGGAGTTAGAATGGGGAAAATAAGTTGGCAAGAGGTTTTGGAAGATACTGGATCTGCCCTGTGGAGATGAATGTGTGTTGGATATGAAAGCATGGGGGGTAGAATAGGACCTCCTTTGGACTTAGTGTAGCATTGGTTGCATAGTCAAAGGCAATGACATATTACCAAAAAAGTAACAGCAAAACCCTAAGGAATCATCAGCTTGAAATTGTTGTGTACTATCTACAACTGTGCCTTTACGTGATTCAGAATTTTTCTCCCTTAGCTAGGATTACCTCCCATCAGTAGACATTATGCTGAATTTTAAGACTGAATCTGGTATAGCCAGTTTGTGGGTATAGTTTTGTCTATTCAGATTTCCTCACTATAACTTAACTAGAGAATGTATTTGGCCATATGTGTGTGAAAAACCAAAATATTGAAGCCAAGAAAAGATACAATTTATGATCCTGGATAAAAGTAGACTATTTGGACACTAAACTTTTAAGGAAAAAAATACATGGGCAAACTGCTTGCTATTAGGAGCTATTTTCTTGGCACATTTGATTAAAGTGTATGCAAGGCTGACAGTTCTCTCCAGGCATCAACTGTCATGAACTTGTTCCAATTTATAACCATCGAGGATTTTCCACTACTCTGTCAACCCTCAAAGGACAGGGTTAACTGCATGCCCTCAAATAGAGTTGCAAGTGGTTTGTTAATCTCTACTAATCTGCTGCTCCTGTAACCAAATGCATGTGTTTATTTTTTTTTCTGGTTAAATTGTAAATGATATTAAATTGGCTGTTGGAAGTGAAATCATTCCGTAGATATTTCCCTTATGGTTTCTGTCATGCTATGGTCTTTTTTTTTTTTTATGAGTACAATAAATTTTATCATTTTCACTGACTGCCCTAACTTTTCACAGATGCCATCCCACCCACCTTCTACAGACCCTACTTCAGAATTGTCCGATTTGATGTTTCAACAATGGAGAAGAATGCTTCCAATCTGGTGAAAGCAGAGTTCAGAGTCTTTCGTTTGCAGAACCCAAAAGCCAGAGTGGCTGAACAACGCATAGAACTGTATCAGGTAACTTTGGGTTATTCTCATGGGTAATCAGTTTGAGTTCTTAGGGTGATAGACTATGTTATCATAGATAGTTCTTAGCTGATATAAAGCATTCTATAATTCACAATTATGATATAGGCCCTCTTTTGCTATTAATGTTATCCTCATAGCTTATTCCTAATTGCTCAGAAAGAGCTTTAAGAGTGAAGTATGGAGCTCTGAACTTCTTCAGTGGCATGAATGGATGAAATATGCACGCTTAGGAGAGTTTGGTCTAGAAATCAGTCCCCTAAACTGGAAAGTTAGATAATGCAGGCTCAGTTCCATCCTGAGGAATGAAGTCAACTCGCCTTGCTGATGTGCAATGGCTATCCCCTTTCTCCTGTTTCTTTCCTCTTTTCCTTTCTGTGGTCTTCTCTGTCTTTGTCTTTTAAACTCTGTTTTATTTCTCTCTTTGCTACCTCCTCTGTCTTCAGTAAGCTCGTCCTGTTTCCTTTGCCTCTTTGTCTCTGCCCAGTCACACTCATCTGCCATTCCCCCAACATCCTATGTCCACCCATCCTCCATGATTTCAGCAGCCCTGGCATCTCTTTGTCATCTTCCTTGTAGAATTGCTGACAACTGTGTCAAAAGAGGAAGTTGATGATGAAGTGTCAAGTTATTGAGATTTTAGAGATGTTCTTAAAAGTATGGTGTTTAGATAGGGTCTACAGGGTACATGGCCCAGGAGCTGTGAGAAATGTAGCCTCTCAGGGTCCTCTCTGGACTCACTAAATAAGATTCTGTATTTTAAGGAAATCCCTGTGTGATTCTTAGGTACATTAAAGCAAGTTCCCAGGGCCGGTGGTGTGGCACAGAGGGATAAGCTGTTGTCTGCAACACCAATATCCCATATGGGCACCTGTTCATGTCCTGGCTGCTCCACTTCTCATCTAGCTCCCTGATAATCCACCTGGGAAAGCAACAGAAGATGGTCAAAGTCTGTAGGCCCCAGCCACCCACATAGGAGACCTTGGATTTTATGGCCATTTGGGTATAAACCAACAAAGATCTCTCTCTCTTTCTCTGTGCATGTGCATATGTGTCTTCCTCCCTCTTTTTCTCTTGTTCTCTCTTCTCTGTCTCTATAACTTTGCCTTTCAAATAAACATATCTTTAAAACAAAAGAATTTCCCAAAGCAAAATTTCTCAGCTGATACAAACACATTTCACAGTCTTACTTACCAATAAGAAGTCCAAGAACCAAACTATCAGAATGATTTACTGGAAAAAGTCATAGAGTATAGTGATATCTTTAAAAAACAAAAAACATTGTTCCAAAAGCTGTGATCCTAGTGAGGGAGGCAGACATGTAAACAGATAGCTTAAATATGTCATAGTGTCATGTGAAGTGTGTGTCACCATGCAGGGCTGAATTGGGAAGATCTCACCAGGGAGCTGACATTTAAGTGGGATCTCAAGAAGTGTCTGTTAGAATAGGATGAGGGAAGGTCGTTGTTTGAAGAAAGAGCAGCCTATGCGGACAGACTTGAATGGACATATTGAAGGTACTGGGTGCTTGATGCTCAGTGCCTGGAGTTAAAAACAGACTGCTGAAAAACCTTTCCTCCAGCACAAGTATGTGGGAGACAAGAGGATTAAGAATACACCCTAGGAACCCCCAAGGTGAAGGAGTAGGCATTTATTGCAGTGTGACTACAAAGTGGGCTTGCCTGAGAAAAGAAAGGAATTGACATCTGCTTGTGGAAACCTCTAGTTCTGGATTCTAATTATTAGGAAATTTTGATAATTAAGATAAGAATTTTCCCTCTATTGTGAAAATGAGGGAATTACCATCCAAATGAATACTGTATGACATCTCAAGAATATGTTTATAGTTTGTTTATAATTTCTAGTTTTTAGTTACAAAGTTATAAAGCAAGGATTTTATACACTTTTTGGATTAACGTGATAATTGTCCATCTTTATAGGGTGCACTGTGGTATTTCAAGATGTGTACAGAGTGTACTGATGAAGTCACAGTCATTAGCATTTCCACCTCCTATTCATTTCTTAAAGCACCAGTTTGCCCATGTGCTCATGAAAAATTATTCTTACTTATTAAAGTGAGTCCTAAGAAATGTCTACTTGAAAACCTTTGGATCTTAGAGCATCTTCAAAATTTGAGAATGCTGTGAGGGCGGCCTGGGCCTGATGGGCAGCCATTGCTTCCCACTCAACAGGGAGTCTGACAGATAGGGGTGTGTGCCCCAACACGTGTGCCGTACACTATTCTGAGTACTTCAGCACTATTGTCTCAGATGACACAACTGGACAGTGAAATTTGCTGTATCAGGTATTCTTTCTACTACTGTAGTCTTCCTCCACGTTGCAGAGAAAGAGCCCAAGACAAAGAAGAAATAAGTAACTGAACCATGATCACTCAGCTAGGAAGTGGCAGGCCCAGAATGTGAATCCACCTCTGACTCCCAAGGGCCTCTTGCTCCTCATCATGTGCTGTTCATAGCAAATTTCTCTCTTTCTCTGTCCTTCAATATCAGCCAGAATAGAAAAAATAAATAAATAAGAAAAACCAGGCCAGAGGGTGGAGTGTTATTTAGAGAGAAATCAAAGACTGGTTCCTATGAAAAGGAGCCAAATTATGGGTGGCCAGATTAATTGGGAGATAATAAACAAACAACAACGAACAAACTCGATTACATCTCCTTTATTTCTCTCTCTCTTTTTTTCGATTGATCATTTCTTTCTGTGCTGATGACAGCATTCTGGATCAGTCTCTGACACTGGGTCAGTTACATGGCTTCAGTAAATGCAAGGCTGGGGTTTCTTAAGTGTTGGTGGCTGAAATGTAAGCTGCTAAGTCACTGTGATGCTTTGGCCCATTGGCCTTGTGTCTAAGGAGTGGTCTGTGACCGGAGGCTTATTGATGACTTGCCTTTCTCTATGAGGCAATCTAATCTCTAGAAATGGATGTGTTATACGAGGCTGACATTGTAGAGGGCCTTAGCAGGTCTTTGGTGGTTGTGTCCCTTTTCGGGGGTTTCTGTAGCACTGCCTGTTCCATGACACAAGCAACAAGATCTGCATGGATTAAAATTCCTCAGCTGGAAAAGGTTCAGCTCAAGATGGAATGTTTATGTTTAGTGAGAAACCACGTGTTTCTTGTCACTGAACTTGGGAACCCAGAACTCAGTACTTCCAAAACTCATTATATGTGGCACTAAGCTATGCGGTCTTCTCACTTCCTGAAACACAGTTGAAGTCCGGGTAAGTCTTCAGGAGATCCCTGAAAACCCTAAAGGAAGACAAACCATACACAAGCTGACTCATCAGAAAGGCAGCCATAAGCCTTTCATGCCCTTCTGATGAGGGTGATTGTCTCCTGGGTCACAGGAGGTAGAAGCACTGACTTACATGGAAAGGGCTAGAGAAAGACCCCCTACCAGATGGTGAGATTTTGCCAGTCACCACTATGATACCACATCAGAAAGTCAAGTCACAAAGTAGTTATCCCACTCTATCTCCTTGACTCCCTACCTGGCTTCTGACCTCTGCTCTGGCTGTTTATTTGAATTCCCATTTTTTACTTATTCACCAAGCCATCAACTGCTATTTGGAGATCTTTACAGCCTTTAGTGATAAATACTTTTATAGTAATAATTATTTTACTAGTCCTGGTATACAAATTGACATGATAGGCTTGAATTATGAAAGTGAGGCTAAATCATACTTAGGAAATAGAATATATTTTAGAGAGTTTTGTATACAAATGCAGTCTATTTTAGTAAGTTTTATATCCAAAATTACTGGAATACTACTTTGAAAAAAAAAAACTTGTTACTTAAAATGAGCAGATCTTCAATTATTTGGAAAGCTTGCCTTTTCAGAGGAACAAAGCCTCTGAAGTCCCTCGATGTCCTTTGACTACTATATTGCTTAACATACAGGTGACATTGTACTTCCTGGAGAAAGGGAGAGTGGCTATGAATAAATGCTCAGGATGTCTGGGTGGTAGTATGAATGTTTCATTAGAAATCAACAGGGCATTGATTTTCAGCAGGGAGAATATGTATGTGTGCACCTGTGTGTGTCCATGTTTGAGAGCTCACCTGTGGGCACAGGCACTTCCCCAAGTGTGGAATCCCTGAGGGAGCTTTTGCAAGGACTACTCGGGATTCCTATCCTAGGTGTTCTGATTGCCCCTGAAAGAAAAATGGGCATTGCCTCTGGACAAATATGGCTTCCCAGAGTTCTACTGGTGGTTCATTTGTGGTCCTTTTCTACTCTGGATTCAGATTTCCCCATTCTCAATTGGGAATTAAGGCTTCGCAGCATATACCAAGCTTTTTTGGTCTCTCTGTCCCATCCTGTCTACCTAGGCACTCTTTCTGGAGTCAGAACAGCACATCTCAGACAGCATTTCTGAGAGTAACTTCATGGTTTCTCTTGTTCAGGGTTAAGAAAGTCTGTTGAGTTTCTTTGCCTGGGAAAGTTAGGGCACATGAACTACGTGCAAGTCAAATTTAGCTTGGTTAAGAATAAAAAACTTGGGAAGTGAAGCTTCTTATCACTCTCCGCTCTCCACAGAATAGTCTGCCAGGATGTTGATAAAAGGTGGGATGGTAAAAAGATCTTGCTGGTATGATTCATATAGAACTTCAGATGTATGCCAGTAATGGAGGGAATATGGGAGCAATAAAGCCCTTTGACAGTTGGGGAGAGAAGGTGCAGAGAAAAGGTAAAACAACATTTTCCAGATAGAAAGGATACTTGATTAAGTCATAGAAATTAATATTTCCATCTCCTTATCATTGCTTTAGGTTCAGAGCTTTAGAACTTTCTCCTCTTGTTGTTCATAAAATATATAATAAGCTGGCGCCATGGCTCAATAGGCTAATCCTCCGCCTTGTGGCATCGGCACATCGGGTTCTAGTCCCGGTTGGGGCGCTGGATTCTGTCCCAGTTGCCCCCCTTCCAGGCCAGCTCTCTGCTGTGGCCCGGGAGTGCAGTGGAGGATGGCC